GGGCCAAACGAGCATGCAGCTCACCTGATTGTAAGTGACTATTCCCCCCAATGATCACCCATAACACCAAAGGCATAGCACGTGTGCTGCCGGCCTTTTATAAAGGAATATGCTCTTTTCTCGAAGGTTATAATGTCGTATCGGTTCGGAAATACTGCTGCTGGAAGTTGATTCCATAGAGGGGTTGTGCGTAGAAGAAAGAAATTAAACAACATATGATAATATGATAGGTATCGCTCATAGATTGAGAATTAGAACTCGTTTTTAAATTAAGTATATAAATAAAGATATTTATGTACATAACGTATTTTTATTTTGTGGTAATTAATAGACTACTAATAACTTGTACTTTTTTAAGGGAACCAAACTAACACACAGTTTAAGTGCTGAATACATATATTAATAATATTAGGTACAATTTCTCCAAAACGTTTTCCGTTCTCTTGAATCCATAGCTTAAATTAAATTGGTTAGCCTAAACTTAAACATGCCAGCGTGAAGATACCTACTACAAATTCAATTGCTGTTCATCTTTCGCCTTACCGCCAAATCCCAGCAAGGGACCTCCAAAATCCCAATAATACACTCGCTTATCGCAGATCGACAATTACTGCACGGCAATATGCTTTCTAAAAACTCAATTTCCGCATCGGAGCAATAGGCGTCGGCTATCTTCTGTTAAAAATTTAATTCTTTATCAATGGTGCCACCGAACGTTCCGTTATCTAATTTCGGAGCAAATGGACGTTGCACACCGTGACCAATGCTTGTCTTTGGTCCGATATTTTTTATCTGTGTACGAGTATACGCGTATACCTTCCGTGGGCAGATATAAAGAGCGCGAAATTGTTGACAGAGTGTTGAATTATTTGGAGGTCGAATGCTTGAGTACCTATGGACAGTTAGAAGCTTTCGCTATTTTTTTTTTAGAATTCCTGTTGAAATCAGCTATGCATTATACGCACTCCAGGTTATAATTGCACTAGCAGAACCCTATTGTGACAGTATAAAAATGCTGTAAAATTCTATGTGGTTATTTAACCTCCTACTTGTTTGGTTTCACTTTTTTCCATTTCTTGAGATTTTTTTTTATACAATCTGGAATGGTAAACAAGTTCACCTGATGGAAAATGGTAACAGTCATCTATAAACATGAATAGCACCATAAACATTACGAAATACATCGGAATGCCCTGTTATCTCTCGTACATCGCTATTCCTGAGGGTTAAGATGTTTTATCTCCAGATTTTCTAAATATTTCTTTTCTAATTACGCAATGCTATTTTTGTCGGTGATGTTCTGATGCTGTCTCCTTCTAGTGATTTAGCTCTCCTATATTTCGATGGATCGTCGTTAAGATGATTAATTGAAGTTTTTACCTCTCCTTTTTACTTTATATGTTAATATAAAAAAAATGTGTATTTTCATGATTCGCTACTGGACTCTATATAATCATGCCTAAACCTGAACTGTATAAGAGAATTATCTAAGTATATATCATAAACCCATAGGAATATTCAAGTGTAGGGTCGAGTGTTTCGGGTCCACTCCAAAATTGTCTGGTGTAGGGGGGAAAGGGATTGTTAGTAATGGAAACTGAGAATCCAATTGCTAGCAATATACCCAACCAGGTCGACCTCCTCGCGGTTCTCCCTGGAAACTATCATGGTTAATTCTTAATGAATTTATCATGATGGGCTAACTGGTCTGTTTTAATTCTCATCTATCGCCCTTCACTGGTGCTCCGCCAGCGTATCCCGTTAGCGCAGGCGGGGTTGCCATACCATCTTCGCCCATCAAAAAACATTGTCTGGTGCTGCTGAAATCCCAGGATGTGAGCGAAGCTTTCATCTATGCGCAAAGACATGTTTATGTGTAAGTACATTTTGAGGTGGTGTCGCTCCCTCCCCCCTCCCTGCTTCGGAAAATAATTTTAAATATGCTAATCCTCAAAGCTGGCAATATGTATATCACCTTTTGTGAAAGATATTAAATAAAATAAAAGAGAATTAACAACTATTACGAATCATCAATCATAAAATACTAAGCTTAGATTATAAACGTAGTATGTTATATAATATTAAGTCCTTAGACTAAGTCTGTTGTGTCACACAGCACACATCAGTGTATTGTGGAATGCTCTAACTCAACTGTGTGCAGAAGTAGATGAAAACACATTGTGAGGACGTCAGTTGCGAAGAAGAGCCTCATCGACAAACCACTATAATCATAAAAACCACGACCACTCTATGAAGAATGTTTTTTTTATACAACTTAGAATGGCAAACAAGCTGACGGCCCACCTGATGCAAAGTGGTAAGCGTCGCCTATAGACATGAGCAGCACCATGGACATAACAGAGTATACTGTTTCGCCCATGATACCCCCAACACAACTGCTTCACGGTATAACCACGAATGGGACCGAGGTACCCAAGCAATCGACTTTTGTACAAAGTCTCCCTCTGGTTGTTATTGTTGATATTTAAACTTCTTCCGAAGTTTTAAATATATTCTGTAAATACTAATATCGTATCATTTAAGTAAGTAAAGAATTTCTCATTCACCAGGGAGAGTTCAGAAAGGTCTTTTATGAATAATAATAAGAGATTGGGCCCTAAAATAGTACCCTGCACCCCCCATGCGTGGCCATTCCTGAGGACTCAGGTGTTATTCCTCTGTACCCAGTAAATTCACGCCATATCCCACCCTTCAAACCGAAACACAGACATGCAAACACAATTGCTTCACGGTTGAAACACGAATGGGACAGAGGTACCCAAGCAATCGACTTTTGTACAAAGTCTCCCTCTGGTGAATGTACGACTGAAGAGAGATATTAAGTAAACAAAAATTGATATTAGGTACAGTCCAAATAGTTAATGAGTGGGCAAACAAGCTAATACAAATGTTTTGATATATATATAAAAGTATAATCTACCTAATGATAATTCTAGCATTTTTATATTTGTATTTCTTATTAATTATATTCTAACTGTATACAAGTTCAAAGGAAAGTCTAGATAATCATATATCTAACAATTTAAATTAGACCTAGATTTGAAACTAGCCACAGCTAAACGTTTCGGTGCAGGCTCGAGTGCGGCAGTTCCCATGGCAACCACGTCGTTGTTTTGCCGATCGTGCTTTGTCTATTCATTCATTTTTTTTTTTACTTTTTTTATACGGAAATATAGGCACATGGCGCAAGCAGACAATGCTTTTATAGGCATTAGGTTAGCCTTTGCCACGGAACTGATAAAAGCATTGCAACATGAAATTCAAATTTTTATTTTCGAATTTTATTAAATATCTACATAAAAAACATCATTAAATTAATATTTAGGTACCTTATTGAATGCCATCATTTCTTACTTTTGATATACCAGGTAAAATTTTAGGAACAGATAGATACCTTTTTTTTCTTTCGTTTTAATGGTACAATTAATCAGATAGCATTTGGAATGAAAAAAGCTATATTTATGCAAGTTAATACTAACAAATTCACGGGAAAAAACTAGGTAAGAAATAAATTAATAATTATAAAATATATTCAAATATTGAAATAGAATACATTATAATCCCAATTTAAATTTGAAGCCTATAGGGTAGCTTAAGCTACTAAGGTTTTTTTTTTAATGGGTGATAATGGTATGGTAAGCTCGCCTGCGCTACGGTATACGCTGGCGAGACACCAGGGAGAGATGATAGGTGACGATGAAAACAGGTCAGTTTGCCCATCGCGATGAATTCCACTAGAACTAACCACAATGGTTTCCAGGGGGAACCGCGTGGAGGTCGACCTGATAGCAGTACAGAGTGTACTGCTAGCAATGGGTCCGACCCCATTACTAACAATCACTTTCCCCCCAGCTTCTAAGGGTAGGTATATCTTAATACTAAAGATTTACTAAATACGAGTGAACGGGTGTCACAGTATCTGCAAAATGAGAATAAATAGGAATAATAAAACGGAAATATTAAAGTACAGAAATATTAAAGTACTTTCATTCCTTTCTTTTTGTTTTTCGGACTTTTAATGTTATAATCATGAAAGTGAGTTTGTTTGTTATCTACCTCTTGTCCCTTTCTGAGCCCAATTAATCGCCACGTTTATCATATTGGAATGAAAAGGAACTAGGCTATTTTTATTCTGAACAATATTATTGTAACGTTTTTGAATAGTAACGTAAATCCGTCTATCAATATAAGCTGGTGGAGCACCAGCGAGTATAGTAATAAGTACATACATACATACATACATATCTGTCACGCCTGTCTCCCATTAGGGTAGGCAGAAACAATGGAACGCCAAATGCTTTAGTAATAAGTAATGATTATAAATTAGTCATTTGGCCTATCGTGAGGCCTTTGCCACAATTATTTCCAAGAGACATTACATAGAGGTCAAACTGACAGAATACATTACCAGCAGCATGAGGAAATCGCGGTTAAAGTCTAGTATCTACATAAATTTAAAGTGTATATTAAAATGTTTAATTAGGAATCAGGAAAGAATGATAAAAGATTCTCACTCCAGTCGTCCCTACCCCCATCTTCACCCTTTAAATATGCCTACGGCATTACCACGCATTGTCTGCGATTCTGTGATCATTCATTATAAACATATTTTTAAAGAAACGAAACTATAATAATTTGCTATTAGGAACAATCAGGCGCAGACACATTTAGGTATGTTTAAACATAAAATAAATTTAAAATTACTTCCCACTATTACTCTATTTTATAAATCACAATAAATCACGCTATGTAATTAATGACTTACTTCTCTAGAGCTATGATGACCAATGATATTAATTACTGAGCAAGCAATTATTATCTATATTACTATTACTGAAATAATTAAAATTATGAAAAAATAATATAAAATTAGTAAGCATAGAATATTTTTATGAAAAGAGGTATCTATGAATATTTTTTATCAATTTTTGATAATCAGCATAAAGAGCTGTAACAAAACGTAATGAAGGGAAAAAATATAGAGATAATAAAGAAAAACTAAACGAAACGATCGGAAGTTGGCAACAGGACCAATTTCCCCATATTCGCGAATAGTGTTTCGCATCAATTTTTAGTTTTTCTCTTAAAATTGTTAATAAATTATGTTGTCCAGCTTAAGATCTGGAGTTCTGAGCACGGTACGTTAATTTAATTTGTAAATCGGACTATAAAGTGGTGAATTTATGACTTATTGCGTTATATAATATCTGTTTGACAGTTCGTTCTCACTTTTCGTCTTACAAAATATTTATTTTCAGTGGCGTACTTCGGCTAGGGCTCTCCAAACTAGTTCAGCCTTACAGCATGATAGCTTGTTCGTGCATAGAGACACACCCGAAGATAATCCTAACATCCCTTTTGAGTTTTCGCCGGCGAACCAGAAGGCAAGTAGTCAACTCCATTTGTTTTGGTTTTATCATTATTTTAAAATTCTTTTTAATTGATTTCCATTCAAAAATCGTAAATAAATGTTATTGCTACGCTATACACTAACAATAAATGACAACTTTTTGTTAATTTAAGTACCTACATAATTTTCGTTTTATAAAAATCTGTTACTTGCTGTATATATACATATTTGAAACTGTTACCTGAAACAAAATGTATGTACGAAAAACTCATGAAGACATAAAAGTATCATAGTTTTACAATATAGGTACTATAGGTATAGGCATTAGTCTCTAAGGTCTGATGTGCTATATCCTTACTATTATTATAAATGTAAAAGTGAGTTTGTTTGTTACCTTATAGCACCTTAATGGCTTACCAATTACTATGAAATTTGTTTTTTTTTACACATGTGATGAAGAAGGATATAGTCTACTTTTTGTCCTGGTTAGTAAATATATTACAGTCACATGGACAGAGTCATAGGTAAAAGCTAGTATATCTATTAGTGACAGTTTACCACTTGCAGTTAAAAATGCCATCAGTTTCTTGCCATCCCCAATCATAAAAGAAAAATTAAAATCTTTTAACATAGTAATGGAATTTCTTATTCTTTCTTTCTTTCTTATGTTAATTTGCAATTTTTCAAAATTCCAGCGAGTTGAAGCCCTCCTAGCCATTTACCCAGAGGGCCACAAGCGAGGTGCAATGATTCCACTATTGGATTTGGCTCAGCGTCAAAATGGAGGCTGGTTACCTATTTCAGCTATGCACAAAGTTGCCGAAGTTTTAAATGTACCACGCATGAGAGTGTATGAAGTTGCGACTTTCTATACTATGTTTATTAGGTGAGTATTTCCTTTCTTCTTAAAGATATGGCAATTTAATCTCTTAATTTATATATTAATCTCTTAATTTAAAATTTATTTTTAATCTCTTAATTTAGAAATACAGCTATGCAAACACAACTGCTTCACAGTTGAAACACGAATGGGGGCAGAGGTACCCAAGCAATCAACTTTTGTACAAGCTCTCCCTCTTACATTAACATTATTCATACTATCTGCATGAGATAGAACAAGAAGACAATGTCTAGCTCCTTTTTAGACCATATTCTATTGACAATTTATTAGCTCAGTTATTTACCATTTGTGGAAGTGGTCTGATATTCATTAAAGTCCTCTTTGCATGCAGTTTTTATATTTTTTTTAACAATAAGACAATCCTATGGTAAAATTCTGGTACCCCTTAAAGATTAAGATGTTATGTCTCTATTATTCATTGTTATTATTTTATCAACTATTAACTAATCACTGCTGAACATAGGCCTCCATTTAAGAAAGGGAGGAGGGGCTGGGGTTGCTGTAGATGCCACACTTGGCAGACAGATTGGCAACCACAGTTAGACTTTTGGTGATGTGTTAAGGGAGACACTGCTGCTTATCCCTCAACTGTTAAGTTCCTTTAGTCGCCTCTTACGACTCCCATGGGAAAAAAAGGGGTAACCCATTCTATGCCATGTCCACATGGTGACCTCTATCATTATCCTATTGTAAATGTATTTATTTATTTATTTAAGGACAACCAACAAAGCGTACATTTATATTTACTTAAAATACATTATAATAAGGTTACATTATAAAATGCTGCCTCAATTAAAGGCCTGTCAGGACATGCCTATTCATAATATATGTAATATAATTAATGAGAAGTGTTAATTGTGATTACATTATTAAATCTTCCTATAAAGAAATTAGAACATTATTTGAGCTAAAGGATTCATAATATAAGGCACTGGTAATCTACTAAAACCACACTAGTCCAGCAACTTTGTTCATACAGAGTTCATTTAAACTTTTCTGTAATACTGATGTATAGTGCTTTGTGTGGGATTGACTTATCTATTGCTAGGCATGGGTATTTCACTATGAGAGGAGAAAATAGCCCACAATTACAGTGTTTTTTTTTTTTAATGGGTGATAATAGAATAGTAACCTCACCTGCATTATCGGTGTACGCTGGCGGGGCACCAGTGAGTGATGATAGATGACGATGAAAGCAGATCTGTCAGCCCATTGTGATGAATCCCACTAGAAGCATGATGATTTCCAGGGGAAACCGCGTGGAGGTCGACCTGATAGGGTGTTGGTGTATTGCTAGCAATGGGTTCATTAGACCTCATTACTAACAATCCCTTTCCTCCCATTATTACAGTGTTGGGCTGCTGGATTTAGGTCTTTATTTTGAATTTTCCTATGCATTTTTTGTTCCTTTAATCATCTCTTATGACATAGATGGGGGAAAAGGAGTTCACATATTTTCTTACTCTGTCACCACAATCTTAACATATTTATTTGTTGGTAGACGACCTATTGGTAAGTATCATTTGCAAGTGTGTACAACAACACCATGCTGGCTGAGAGGTTCTGATGCGATATTGAAGGCGATCAAGGATGCCACCGGCTGTGAAGTTGGTGGAAACAGTGCATGTGGAAAGTTCTCCATTTCTGAGGTATGGAATTCTTACTATTTACTCCTTACTCATTTATTTAGTTAATATTATAAATTGGAAAATGTATTTATCTTATGGATTCTCTGCAACTCAATTAATCCTCATGTAATTATATATTTGAGATGTAAGATATATTTTTTACCTCCAAGCAAATTTTTTTTTGACGTGTGAAAGTGGAATGGTAACCCCGCCTGTTCTAACGGGATATGCTGGCAGAGCACCAGTGAAGGGTGATAGATGAGAATGAAAACAGGCCAGTTAGCCCATCATGCTGAATTCATCAGGAATTAACCATGATAGTTTCCAGGGGGAACCACGAGGAGGTCGACCTGGTTGAGTATATTGCTAGCAATGCGATTCTCAGTCTCCATTACTAACAATCTCTTTCCCTACTTTGTGGAATGTAATAATTGCTGTTTATAGGTGTGAATATCATCATGGAAGTCAGAATACTTTGACGCCCAAGATACTCTTCATACATCCCCGCTAGCAGACACTGATGGCACAGGCGGGGTTACCATTCCATTCTCACCCATTAAAAAAACCATACATAGCCATTCCTGCATGCTAAGTTATAAACAACTAAGCAAAGCTATTTGATTGCAGAACACTAGTGGAATAGATAAATATATGATGAAAAAAGGGAGATTTTATAAAAAATCTCCTTTTAACAAATCATCCTTTTTATATTATAAATGTGAAAGTGAGCTTGTTTGTTTGTCATCTCCTAGCACCTTAAAGGTTTAACCAATCGCTAAGAAATTTGATAAATATATACTATATGGGATGGAGAAGGATATAGGCTTTTTATTCCATTCAGTAAATATATCTGTCACATGGATAAATGAAGTCATGTGTAAAAGCTAGTATATTTTACTTTTTACATGAGTGTTTATATTTAATATGTTTCAGGTGGAGTGCTTAGGAGCATGTGTAAATGCACCTATGGTGCAGGTTAATGATGATTATTATGTAAGTATGCATCATTTATGTTATTTTTTATACTCTGTCAAAAATACATAAGTCTCCCATAATATAAATCTTTGTAATCTATATTATTCTTTGAACAGAATAATAAAGTATTTTCATGCATCCATTCCTTCATGGAAGTATTTTGAAAAAGTTTCCTCAATTAAAAATAGACATAATAAGACATAAGTTTGCCTTTTGTTCCATATTTTCTTTTACCCAATAAAATTATTGAAATAAATAATTTTCTGAAAGAAAGGATGAAAAATAATTTATTTAGCGACAATAATATTAACATTATAGCAACTTAACAGTAACAACAATAATTCTAATAACAATTTATGGTCTTCCTAGGATAGCAAATATATCTGTGCCACCCATAGAATCCTTTATGTGTTGTTTTGCTAAGGAATAAGGTGTTATTTCTATTTGAGAGATTTTTTTTTATGTAATTAATTATATTTGTGTTTTTATAGGAGGATCTTACAGTAGATGATGCAAAGGAAATAGTTGAAAAACTAAAGAAAGATGAGAAACCTAAGCCTGGACCTAGGTATGTGGTGTTAAGTCAGAAATGTCGGTAATATTTTTTATTGTAAGATAGAGTATTTTTTTGATGGGTGAAAGTGAAATTGTGTCTCTACCTGCGCTATTAGTATACACTAACCATACATATGTATACAATATCCAAATCAATTTTTAAAAAGTTATTAAAACAGTATTTATTAACTAAACAAAAACTTGAGTTGGTCGCCTGGTAGTGACTGCTTTCAACATAATTATTATTATGGTGAATTAATTGTATGTTTAATTAATTAATAAAATATATTATTTTTGCATTATTTATATAAGTATGTATCTATATAATACAATTTTATCTTTGGCTGTTAAATTGGTTACACAGGTTACACTCTGAGTTTAACGTTTAACTCACGCGTCCGTGTAGCCTAACTTCAGGCTGCAGCTGAAAATCAGTGCTTTGCTTTCAAGCAAAACCATCACTGAGCTGTAGCCCATTTGAGTCACTGCGACACGCATGGCGAAACCATATTTTCATATTTTATCTTTTGTTGTATATTTTAAAAAGTGTAAATAATTTGATTGTATAAACTCATTTGTAAATTTATATGTGTCATAAATGGCTCAAATAAAAAGTTTATCTATCTATCTATCTATCACTAACATCAGTAAAAGATGATAGGTAAGGATGAAGTGGATCAGTTGAGCGATCGTGACAAATTCAACATTAATTAACCATGATAGCTTTCAGGGTGAACCAATTAAAGGTCGATCTAATTGGGTGTATAGCTAGCAATAGGGCATTTGACCCCATTAATAACAAACTCATTCCTCCTTGTGAAATAGCGTTAGTCATAATGAGCATAGTAAACCAAAGTCCAGTGGCTATATTACATTGCAGTTACAATTGCAACTTGCACTTAGCGACACAGTCGAAATAATTTCTAAAACTTTTCATACAGACCAAAAACAAGTTGTAACGATACGAAACCTCCAAAAATTGAGTACCTTTTTAGTTTGCATTAATTATTCCCGATTTCGACTATTCTTTTTGTTTCGATAGTGATTATCCCTTATTAAGTTTTATTCTTTTGCTTCAATAGTGATTATTCCCATGATTTTAATTATTAAGTTTTTAATTTTTGTAGTTGTTTTATTGTAGACTAGCCATTTGCACTGTGTGTCGTACGCGTGAGTTTTATAACTAGGAATACTAATGAAACATCACTTCAAAGATGGGGTATTAAGATAAAACATAAACTAGATTTTAAGTTAGATTTTTAAAAACATAACTGAATTAACCGTAGTTTATGCGTGATGCCGGAACAAACATTCACACAGACAAAATTTCTAAAAATTATTGTTATGCCATCTATTGATCTTAAGAATTCTCCTATTAATTTTTCTTAAATATCTCCCATATACAGACATCGTCAAGTTGCAATTTTATTATTATAGTAAGATCATAAATAATTTTAAAAACCGAATTATTCCTTCAATACAGGAGCGGTCGTTTCGCTGCAGAACCTCTTGGTGGATTGACGTCCCTTACTGAAGAACCCACGGGTCCCGGTTACGGCTTACAGGACGCCCTCAAGTCGTAGGCGAAATTCGTATATTGTTAACTTTATTGTAATAGGAAATATTTAAATAAATCACGTTAGAATTTTATTCTACTTCTCGATTTTTATTGTAATTATTAAATCTATAGAACACGTTGCTATGAAAGCATTATACACTCGACGCGTCAGTGAGAGGTGAAAGAAGGTCAGTTGTGTTGAAGGCCGAGGTTTTCCCAAGAGACTACAGCATGGGGTTCTTCAAAAGGGGGGTAAAGAGGTTTCTTCAGGGTCGGCAACGCGCGCACAATACCTCTGGTATTGCAAGTGTTCATAGGCTACGGTAACCATTTATCATCAGGTGGGCCGTATGCTTGTTTGCCACCTCGGTGGTATAAAAAAAAAGAAAAGTTGGTCAATCGTGTCAAATTCGAAAAAAAACCCATTATTGATAATCTTTCCTTCCATCATCACATCAATTATTAACTTTCCACTACTAATCATAGGCCTCCCCCTGGGGGGGGGGGATACTGTTGCCGATAATTACCAAGATTGGTAATTGGGTTAACTACCGCAGTTAGACTGTGATGATAATTTAAGAGGGGCACTGATGCCCATTCCTCGATCATTAAGTTCCCTTAGTCTGACACTCGCAAGAAAGGAACGGGTGATCCATTCTATGCCGGGACCACACGGCTTTACAAGATTCCTTCCATATTCGTATTTTATTGCTGATTAATTCCTCATAATAGGCTTACTGACAGTGAGAGATATAAGATGCTGATGAAGTTACCACATATCATCACTCTCTATTACTTTGTCAGCTAAGTTAATGTTACCATTTAAAAAACTTAATCATTTGAGGTTATTATTTTTTATTGGTTAAACGATAATTTTACTTGAAACAATTGCATGAGCAAGTACTTATCAAAATGTTGATAAGGTGTCTGAAGTAGGTATTCAGTGCGATTACAGATGGGCAAAGCACCGGGTTTAAACCCGGTGCTTTGGTAAAAACCCAATAAACACCCATAAACTCCCATAATCACCCAAAAAAATAGGTTTTTACGTATTTTTTTGAAAATATGTAAGTAATACCAATAAATTATTTTTATAAATTGTATTGATCAATTCTACAATATTAAATAAAACGTTAACTAATAATATTTCAGGAAATTTTAAAAATCTATATATAATAAAATGAAAGTAATTAATTTTCAGTGTTTTCATGTTGCAGTTGATCAACATGTTGGCCTTTTGCTTCCCGTAGATACTTTAAAATTTCTTCATAACACCTCGTTCGCACACATGGCCGTATATATTTAAATTCTTGAGCCACTAACAGTAACAGTCCGAAATACTCATTTCTTTTATCCTCTTCTCCATAAATTAAGCATTTAGAACAGTTTGTTTCTTCTTTCAGTAAATTTTCTTTTACTTTACCCTCGTTTTTTTTCTTTGTTGCGACGACGCTGGGTAAATCATCTGGACACTGGGTCTCACTATCGCCAAATATATTTGGAGATCGGCTTCGGCTACGGCTTGGCAGACATTTTTTTCTTTCTACAATTTTAAATTAAATTTATTAGAATAAATTACAGATGGGCAAAGCACCGGGTTTAAACCCGGTGCTTTGGTAAAAACCCAATAAACACCCATAAACTCCCATAATCACCCAAAAAAATAGGTTTTTACGTATTTTTTTGAAAATATGTAAGTAATACCAATAAATTATTTTTATAAATTGTATTGATCAATTCTACAATATTAAATAAAACGTTAACTAATAATATTTCAGGAAATTTTAAAAATCTATATATAATAAAATGAAAGTAATTAATTTTCAGTGTTTTCATGTTGCAGTTGATCAACATGTTGGCCTTTTGCTTCCCGTAGATACTTTAAAATTTCTTCATAACACCTCGTTCGCACACATGGCCGTATATATTTAAATTCTTGAGCCACTAACAGTCCGAAATACTCATTTCTTTTATCCTCTTCTCCATAAATTAAGCATTTAGAACAGTTTGTTTCTTCTTTCAGTAAATTTTCTTTTACTTTATCCTCGTTTTTTTCTTTGTTGCGACGACGCTGGGTAAATCATCTGGACACTGGGTCTCACTATCGCCAAATATATTTGGAGATCGGCTTCGGCTACGGCTTGGCAGACATTTTTTTCTTTCTACAATTTTAAATTAAATTTATTAGAATAAATGCTTCGAACACACGCGATCTAAGTACCTTTTGTGTTTATTATACCTTACCTACCTAGGTATAAAAAGAGTACTTACGTAGATTTTCTTTTATTAACTGTTTTATACGAAGATCTTGATCTCTCAAATTAGCATCCATTTTACTTTCAGTGATTATCAACTAAATTAATAATCCACAAAGTATTAAATAACGTTTTTATGAAATATTTAGCACAAAAACAATACCCTTTAAATATCGATCGTCAGTAACTGTGGCTGACTTACCTATATTCTAGCAAGCAGGACTGCCAGATGTGAAGGGGAAATCCCCAATAAATTGTTGCATGTGACTGATGATGTGAGCATGTTCGTTTCATAATAAAAATGTTGCCAGGTAACCAAAAAGTCGTATGTTTTTGTGCGAATTACGATCATAATCTTTATGATCGTACATTAAAAAATAGACAAATAATAGTATGAGTACGATTTAAATCGTATATCTGTCAACCCTGCTAGCAAGACAGCGACAAAATCACGTTGCATAACAATGTAGCCCAAGCTTATATCTTATGAAATATACGGAAGAGATACGGACTTAGAAAAAACAGAAATGTTGTTCTTTGTGGAAGTCATTGATGAAATTCTATGTATTTTAGCCCGCAAACTTTCTTCAAACAAAAACAGCGCCATCTAGTATCGAGTTCTGTAATTATCTCTTTGTTTATGGATTTGAAGTAAGACCGCCACGCATGCAATACATTATGACTGGGGATTCCCCTATTCGTCGACGCTGAATATGAGGCGACGACAATCACTGTCAAACGTGTTCACTATTACTCTGACTCTGGTAACGTGACTTCCTGGTAACGTGTTAGGTAGGAAAAGCAGTAAAAAAGTGCATATTAAGGGAGCAGATTTGAAATAATATTTATACTTAACAAGAAATAATTAAAGGTAAGTGGATTTTTGAATGATACAATTATATCATGATCACTTAACAATTTTAACTTAAAATTAGATGTATTATTACAAGCTTTTATTTAGCTTGCGTTATGTAAATAAAAGTATGTAGGTATGTTCGTATGTTGATGCAATTATCCTCAATCCTCAACCGACTGGGATAAAATTTTCCATACACGTTTATTTTGGATGATAGTGCATAGTTAGCTGAGAGTCGTCATTGGATAATAATGGTGGATAGCCTAAGATGTGTACTAGATATTTATTTTTAACATAATATGCGTAAGTACCTAATCGAATTAAAGAAGTTGCTGAGAAAAATACAGAACAATACGATAATAAACTAGCGTCTGCGTTTAATCCTCCGAGGAGATGTAATTTTACAAAGGTTTTTTGTATTTATTTTATTATTTTTTTAATAAATTTATTGTAAATAACAAGAAATAATCATTGTAAAAAAATAGGCACTCTATTGTTGAATTTTCGTCAGACCAACTAATCATCGTTCATTTTTTTAGGTTCAATGGGGAGACCTAAAGATTTACGCATATGGGAGCACTACCGTACTTTACCAAACAAGTCTGTTTCTTGCAAGCTTTGTAATAAGGTCTACAAATTCAGTAATGCTGCCAAAATGCTTCAACATCTTATCACTTGTCCAAAATCTCCAGAAACATTAAAAGACTCTATGAAACTTATAAAAGATAGCTCGTCCAAAACCAAAATGTCTGGACTGTCAGAGATAGAGACAAATGATTCTTTTATAAGCCCCTCGTCGTCTGCTAACACTACAATAAATGCTGAGTTTCAAGACACCGATGATCATATAAAAACAGAATTAGCGAGAGCTATATTTGTAACAGGGACGCCATTATCGATGGTGCAACATCCTTTATGGATACAATTTTTCGAAAAATTGCAACCAAAATTTAAAATACCTTCACGTAAAGCTTTAGCGACAAAATACTTAGATAAAATATATAGAGAAATGCGTTTTGAGTTAAATGAGGAACTAAATGCTTGTAGTTACTTACACCTTCAGTGCGATGGCTGGTCTAATTTAAGAAATGAAGGAATAATAAACTTTCTTATATCAAAACCTCAACCTGCATACGTTAAAAGTTTGAATACAGAAAGTAATCCTCACACTAGTGAATACCTTAGCCAAGAAGTTGAAAAAGTAATGAAAGTGTATGGAGCAAATAAGTTTCTTGTACTTATTGGCGATAACGCTAGAAATATACAAAAGGCATTCGAATTAACAAAACTCAAATATCCACATGTTGTTCCTCTCGGTTGCTGTGCACATATCCTTAACTTGTTGTGCCAAGATATTGTAAAGATACAAGAAGTAACTGTGTTTATTATGCAAGCCATAAATATAATAAAAACTGTTAAAAGGAGTCAACGATTAAGTTCCTTGTTGATAAAATCAAGGCAGGGTGAAGATTCTACACAAACACTAAAATTGCCTTGTGCTACAAGATGGGGAAGTCATGTTACTTCGTTAAAAAGTTTGAAAGCAAATAAGATAGCTTTGCAAATATTAACAGTTAGAGAAGATGTGGTAATTTCAAGAGATATTAAAGATTTAATTCTAAGTGATGATTTCTGGACGAAGACAGGGGAATGTATAAGTATTTTGGAACCAGTCACTGAAAGCATATTTTACTTAGAGAGCGACCAGAATCGTTTGCATCGCACATACATTACATTTAGAGATGTACAAGCTAAGATACGTTTTGCATTAAATGAGATTTCGACATTGAGCGAAGAAAGCAAACAGCAGATTCTAACATCAGTATCTTCAAGATGCAATATGGCAATGAGGCCAATACATTTTGCAGCATATATTCTAGACCCCAGGACTCTAGGAGTCGAACTTACTCAAGAGGAAGAACTTAAGGGTATGGAGTTTATCTACAATTTAAGCCAACACTTAAGTTTGTCAAATGTAATGGCAGATTTGGCGTGTTATAAAGCTAAAGAAAACTTTTGGGCCAGAGGATTTGTATGGAGCTCATTAGATAGCATTGAGCCCCTAATATGGTGGAAAGGTATTTGTGGTTCCACTGAGTTAAGCAAAGTAGCGATTCGTATTCTATCAGCTCCCTGTACTTCGGCAGCCACTGAGCGTTCCTTTAGTATCCAAGGCTACATACATAATAACAAAAGAAATCGACTTACAACTGAAAGAACTGAAAAAATTTCATTCATTTGTTATAACTGGAATCTTAAACATAAAGCTGAATGCGAGGACATTCAGTTTAATGAAGAAAATACCTTAGAAGCTTTCATTGAGCAAGTAAATGAACATAACAGTTTAGACGAAATAGAGCCTATCGAACCTATACAATTCATCGCTTGTAATAACTCTGAATCTGACAGTGATTGACTGTAGTTTTACATTTTACTTTCATCTCTTTCTTAATAAACTCAAAATCAAATTAAAAGTTTTTTATTCTGTAGGCTGCATAATAATATTGTCTATGTCCAGTATAGTGGACGTCTTGCGGCTGAGATGACGATGATGAAGTACAAAATCATAAACACCCAAAAATTTGGGTGTTTATGGGGTTTAAACCCAATAAACCCAAAACACCCGGTTTTTACCCACCAGACTTTAAACCCACCCAGGTGGATTGCCCATCTCTAGAATAAATGCTTCGAACACACGCGATCTAAGTACCTTTTGTGTTTATTATACCTTACCTACCTAGGTATAAAAAGAGTACTTACGTAGATTTTCTTTTATTAACTGTTTTATACGAAGATCTTGATCTCTCAAATTAGCATCCATTTTACTTCCAGTGATTATCAACTAAATTAATAATCCACAAAGTATTAAATAACGTTTTTATGAAATATTTAGCACAAAAACAATACCCTTTAAATATCGATCGTCAGTAACTGTGGCTGACTTACCTATATTCTAGCAAGCAGGACTGCCAGATGTGAAGGGTCACTCCCCAATAAATTGTTGCATGTGACTGATGATGTGAGCATGTTCGTTTCATAATAAAAATGTTGCCAGGTAACCAAAAAGTCGTATGTTTTTGTGCGAATTACGATCATAATCTTTACGATCGTACATTAAAAAAAAGACAAATAATAGTATGAGTACGATTTAAATCGTATATCTGTCAACCCTGCTAGCAAGACAGCGACAAAATCACGTTGCATAACAATTTAGCCCAAGCTTATATCTTATGAAATATACGGAAGAGATACGGACTTAGAAAAAACAGAAATGTTGTTCTTTGTGGAAGTCATTGATGAAATTCTATGTATTTTAGCCCGCATAACTTTCTTCAAACAAAAACAGCGCCATCTAGTATCGAGTTCTGTAATTATCTCTTTGTTTATGGATTTGAAGTAAGACCGCCACGCATGCAATACATTATGACTGGGGATTCCCCTATTCGTCGACGCTGAATATGAGGCGACGACAATCACTGTCAAACGTGTTCACTATTACTCTGACTCTGGTAACGTGACTTCCTGGTAACGTGTTAGGTAGGAAAAGCAGTAAAAAAGTGCATATTAAGGGAGCAGATTTGAAATAATATTTATACTTAACAAGAAATAATTAAAGGTAAGTGGATTTTTGAATGATACAATTATATCATGATCACTTAACAATTTTAACTTAAAATTAGATGTATTATTACAAGCTTTTATTTAGCTTGCGTTATGTAAATAAAAGTATGTAGGTATGTTCGTATGTTGATGCAATTATCCTCAATCCTCAACCGACTGGGATAAAATTTTCCATACACGTTTATTTTGGATGATAGTGCATAGTTAGCTGAGAGTCGTCATTGGATAATAATGGTGGATAGCCTAAGATGTGTACTAGATATTTATTTTTAACATAATATGCGTAAGTACCTAATCGAATTAAAGAAGTTGCTGAGAAAAATACAGAACAATACGATAATAAACTAGCGTCTGCGTTTAATCCTCCGAGGAGATGTAATTTTACAAAGGTTTTTTGTATTTATTTTATTATTTTTTTAATAAATTTATTGTAAATAACAAGAAATAATCATTGTAAAAAAATAGGCACTCTATTGTTGAATTTTCGTCAGACCAACTAATCATCGTTCATTTTTTTAGGTTCAATGGGGAGACCTAAAGATTTACGCATATGGGAGCACTACCGTACTTTACCAAACAAGTCTGTTTCTTGCAAGCTTTGTAATAAGGTCTACAAATTCAGTAATGCTGCCAAAATGCTTCAACATCTTATCACTTGTCCAAAATCTCCAGAAACATTAAAAGACTCTATGAAACTTATAAAAGATAGCTCGTCCAAAACCAAAATGTCTGGACTGTCAGAGATAGAGACAAATGATTCTTTTATAAGCCCCTCGTCGTCTGCTAACACTACAATAAATGCTGAGTTTCAAGACACCGATGATCATATAAAAACAGAATTAGCGAGAGCTATATTTGTAACAGGGACGCCATTATCGATGGTGCAACATCCTTTATGGATACAATTTTTCGAAAAATTGCAACCAAAATTTAAAATACCTTCACGTAAAGCTTTAGCGACAAAATACTTAGATAAAATATATAGAGAAATGCGTTTTGAGTTAAATGAGGAACTAAATGCTTGTAGTTACTTACACCTTCAGTGCGATGGCTGGTCTAATTTAAGAAATGAAGGAATAATAAACTTTCTTATATCAAAACCTCAACCTGCATACGTTAAAAGTTTGAATACAGAAAGTAATCCTCACACTAGTGAATACCTTAGCCAAGAAGTTGAAAAAGTAATGAAAGTGTATGGAGCAAATAAGTTTCTTGTACTTATTGGCGATAACGCTAGAAATATACAAAAGGCATTCGAATTAACAAAACTCAAATATCCACATGTTGTTCCTCTCGGTTGCTGTGCACATATCCTTAACTTGTTGTGCCAAGATATTGTAAAGATACAAGAAGTAACTGTGTTTATTATGCAAGCCATAAATATAATAAAAACTGTTAAAAGGAGTCAACGATTAAGTTCCTTGTTGATAAAATCAAGGCAGGGTGAAGATTCTACACAAACACTAAAATTGCCTTGTGCTACAAGATGGGGAAGTCATGTTACTTCGTTAAAAAGTTTGAAAGCAAATAAGATAGCTTTGCAAATATTAACAGTTAGAGAAGATGTGGTAATTTCAAGAGATATTAAAGATTTAATTCTAAGTGATGATTTCTGGACGAAGACAGGGGAATGTATAAGTATTTTGGAACCAGTCACTGAAAGCATATTTTACTTAGAGAGCGACCAGAATCGTTTGCATCGCACATACATTACATTTAGAGATGTACAAGCTAAGATACGTTTTGCATTAAATGAGATTTCGACATTGAGCGAAGAAAGCAAACAGCAGATTCTAACATCAGTATCTTCAAGATGCAATATGGCAATGAGGCCAATACATTTTGCAGCATATATTCTAGACCCCAGGACTCTAGGAGTCGAACTTACTCAAGAGGAAGAACTTAAGGGTATGGAGTTTATCTACAATTTAAGCCAACACTTAAGTTTGTCAAATGTAATGGCAGATTTGGCGTGTTATAAAGCTAAAGAAAACTTTTGGGCCAGAGGATTTGTATGGAGCTCATTAGATAGCATTGAGCCCCTAATATGGTGGAAAGGTATTTGTGGTTCCACTGAGTTAAGCAAAGTAGCGATTCGTATTCTATCAGCTCCCTGTACTTCGGCAGCCACTGAGCGTTCCTTTAGTATCCAAGGCTACATACATAATAACAAAAGAAATCGACTTACAACTGAAAGAACTGAAAAATTTCATTCATTTGTTATAACTGGAATCTTAAACATAAAGCTGAATGCGAGGACATTCAGTTTAATGAAGAAAATACCTTAGAAGCTTTCATTGAGCAAGTAAATGAACATAACAGTTTAGACGAAATAGAGCCTATCGAACCTATACAATTCATCGCTTGTAATAACTCTGAATCTGACAGTGATTGACTGTAGTTTTACATTTTACTTTCATCTCTTTCTTAATAAACTCAAAATCAAATTAAAAGTTTTTTATTCTGTAGGCTGCATAATAATATTGTCTATGTCCAGTATAGTGGACGTCTTGCGGCTGAGATGACGATGATGAAGTACAAAATCATAAACACCCAAAAATTTGGGTGTTTATGGGTTTTAAACCCAATAAACCCAAAACACCCGGTTTTTACCCACCAGACTTTAAACCCACCCAGGTGGATTGCCCATCTCTAAGTGCGATACGATAGGTACGTTTTGGTAGACATCTGTTGCCTATAGATAAATAGATAGTGAAATTTAATATATGTATTGAGTAACATAAGTGTTTTTTTTTATTAGGTATTTTTATGTAAATAAATAAATTTATTTCTAAATAAATTAGTGCCCACTAAGAGTATAAATAACTGAATTTATTTTATCTAACATGTTTTGGTACTGTGTTTTATGATTGAACCACTGTCTAACAGTGACATCTTTTAATTCTGATGTTTCGTCGATTGAAAAATGAACATGGCTCGAAAGAATACACTAAAATACGAATATGGGATTCAGAAAAAGAAATTAATGTAAGTACAATTATTATAATACAAATTTGTTTACCTTGTTAATAATTGTAAATTTTTTATTTTGGGAAAAATTATATAAAGATTGCTAGTTCTTGAGCTAAGCTAAAAGACATAAAACAGTTTATGGCAGTTATACCTAGACCTCAGTGCAAGGGTAAGGGATTGTTATTAATAGGGTCTAATAAATAAAAGCACTTAATTGCTTTGTTTTACTCATCATCATTAATTAATAGAAGACGAGAGTGTGCTTATAAATGGATGTACATGAACGGTAAGCCGATTAATCAAGCTGCTTGAATGTTGTGAAACAAAAAGCCAAAGTCAGATGAGAACTGTCACTTATCTATCAATTACGTTACTGTCAGAATTAACAAAATTGTCAAGTTCTGTCAGTGATATTCTTTACGTTGGTGATTCTTGTTGTCCCTTTGGTGTAAGAAAATGTCTTTTGAGGTTTAAGCTCAAAGGCATTTGTGTGAACAATGAAAAGTAGTCCCACGCGCAAATATGAGAATTTCTCTAACGACCATCAAGCGAAAGATACGGATAAATTTTCCTTAGACAGCCAAGACACCGCTAGTGTGGTGAGTTGTTGAAATTATTGATTTTGTTTGTGTACCTTTTGAGATGTTATTGATTTACCTATATTATAAATTAGATATAGTAATTGTTAATGTTAGACTTCTTACTTTAAGCTTATCGTGTGATGGATATTAAAGAGTTCTAGTTATAATATGGGCGGTTGTAATAGGTATTTGTCGGCGATACTAACTTTAATTGAAACCTGCTGTATTAGCCGACCTAGATCTTTATATCTTACAAGGCACTTGTTAAAATATTTGTAGAAATGCTAATAAGACAGACGGCATGTTGCATTTATTTATTAATATGATTGTTTGGCTGCTAACTTCGGCCTTCTCACGGTTCATAGGTACGCATGCATTTCGCGTATACACTTTCTCCGTATAACAACGTGATGTACTTTTACTTACGACTAATTTCTAATTAAGTTTATTTTTTATTTGCAATTACAACTTTCCCTTTAAAGAAAGAACTCTCTAGAACACCCAAAACTTGTGATTCTATTTATTGTATTGATTGGTTGTTTATTACCAGTATTTGGTGAAAAGAATGTACTAGAACTTTGTACAAAAGTTGCCTGAATATGTAAATAATATAGTATAAAATATTACAGGTTTCATTGTATTTTTGAAACTTTACTGTTATTAGAATACATTTTATTTAATTAACTCATATCTTTATGATTTTTTGGGTCTGATCTTTATGGGCATATATATATAAATACAGTGGAAGAAAATTATTATGTTTTTGAAACTTTGGTTTGCTTGGGCAACTAAGCTAAGATTGAAACTTTACTGTGAAAAGGTGTTACAGGGATCTGTTTAAAACTATTTGCTTCTGTGTTCCCATCCCATAGGAATGTCACAAAATGTTTTCTTAGTGGATATCTATATTGTAAAAGAAACATATGTGTATTATAAATGTCTAAATGCAGTAGTAATTTTATACTATTCGAATAATTAAATAATTCACTAGTACTTTAAATATAAGTTATTTTGTGTTTAGGTAAGCATCATTTCTTAACAATGAATGAAAAACCACAACCACAATGTTTCTTTTTTATGGCATGCACACTATCTGCTGATGATCAATGCTCTTTTTAACTCTGGGTAATCATGCTGTAAGAAATCTCTTTCAGCAAGGATGAGAAGTTTCGATCTGGGGTGAACAAAATCTTGTCCAATTTAACCCCAAAAAGACACAAGTCTGCGCGTTTACCGCAAAAAAGACGCCGTTTGTCGTATCTCCTCACTTTCAGGGCACTTCCCTTGATAAAAAGTCGAGTCTAGGAATTCTGGGCGTTGATATATCTTGCGACTTCCAGTTTTGCGGTCATCTGGAGGAGAAGGCTAAGATAGCTTCCAAGAAGTTAGGAGTGCTCAATAGGGTGAGACGATATTTCATGCAAACACCGCCTGAAATTATATAAAGCCCAAGTCAGGCCGCATATGGAATACTGTTCTCACCTGTGGGCAGGAGCGCCACAGTACCAACTCCTTCCGTTAGACCGCATTCAAAGTCGGGCGCTCGAATTTCGATAGTCAACGCCTTACTGTCCGACTTGATCCACTGAAGCTGCGCAGAGATGTTGCATCTCTGTGCATCTTCTACCGAATTTATCATGGGGAGTGTTCTGAGGAATTGTTCGGATTGATACCTGCTGCTGATTTTCACCACCGTACAACCCGCCACAAACTAAAGTTTCATCCCAATCATCTGGACGAGTAATCGTTTTTCAAGGCACTTTCTTCCACGCACAACCATTCTTTGGAATCAACTTCCAGCAGCAGTATTTCCGAACCGATACGACAACATAACCTTCAAGAAAAGAGTACATTCCTTTTTAGAAGGCCGGCAGCACACCTGCAATGCCGCTGGTGTTGTGGGTGATCATGGGCGGCGGTAGTCACTTACCATCAGGTGAGCCGCATGCTCGTTTGCCCCCTGTGTTGTAAAAAAAAAAAAAAAAAAAAACTCTTACAGTATTAAGCTCGTCAGTTATGTGTCTTTGATCAAATATATTAATGTAATCTTTGTGTGCAATAAAGTATAAATAAAATTAAATAATTTGACATTTAATTGACAGTAATTAATAGCTATTGTCAGCTATAAGGATGAAGGATCTTAGGGCGCTTTGAATGCTGCTTGCAAAGAGCTGAGGAAATAGGTTTTTTATACCACTGATGTGGCAATCAAGCATACGGCCCACTTGATGGTAAGTGGTTACCATAGCCTATGAACTTCTGTAATACTAGGAGCATTACACACATGTTGCCGATCCCGAAGAAACCTCTTTACCCTTCTTTTAAAGAACCACATGCTGTAGTCTCTTGGGAAAACCTCAGCAGTGAGCTCATTCCATAACCCGAGTGTTCATTTTCAAGTAATTAGGTGTAACAGTTCCAATTGTTAGCAATGTAGGTTATATAGACATCAAAATCATGTTTTTTTTAAATGGATGATAATGGAATGGTAACCCCTCCTGCGCTATCGGTATATGCTGGCGGGGCACCAGTGAGAGATGATAGGTGGCAATGAAAAGGCAGGTCAGTTAGCCTATCATGATGAATTCACTTGGAATAGAACACAATAGTTTCCAGGGGGAGCCGCGAGGAGGTGAACCTGACAGTGTGTATTGCTAACAATGAGGCTACCAATCCCCATTATTAACAATCCATTAGCCCCCATCAAAATCATGTTACTTTATATTGGATATTTCTTTTATGTTATCTCAATTTGATTGTATCTGGTTTTCAGTAAATTTACATTAATTATGCTTTGCATAGGGAGAGAGGGATGTCAGTAATAAAGCCTAGGGCAGGGAAGCTGGACCTTATTTGCTAATAATATAATAATAATAATAATGCCTGCTATAGGTATGCATATCAGCATACTACATAAGAAATGTTTTTTAATTTATGTATAATATGTATACTGTTGGTGTGCCTAATTCAGAATAAATAAATAAATAATATAATACCACATTAGGTAGATCTTTGAGTGAGCCTTCTTAGAAATCATTATAGTTAATTTTTGGTGAATTCATCATAATAGACTATTGATGACCTTTCATTTTCATCTGTCATTGGTGTCCCGCTATTATAAATCAATAGTATAGGTGCGGGTGCTATTCCATTATCATCCATTAATAATTAAAATTGGATGAATGGATTGGTAGTTAGGTTTTTTCTAATTGTATAATTGTTGGTTAGTGTACATTGACGCTTATCTGTGAGAGCTGTATACACCTTTAATTAATGTGTTCATATGACCTTAAGCTTGGTAGTGAGGAGTGAGATGTTTTTGTTCAAACTTAGATTTAAGCATTTTTTAATAGTAGTTTTTCTCTTTTACTTACTAATAACATTGTATATTGTCTGCTTAATTATTGTGAGCATATTGTTGGTGTCTTTTATAAATAAATAAATAAAAAATGTATTTCAGAAAAAAAAAAAACTGACTCCAATTGTGGTAAAACCAATTATTTTGTTTAAAATTAAAATTACGGAACCAATTTCTATGAGACCAATCTGTAAGAATATCTGTTGAGATAGAAAAGAATTTTCAAAATCTGTTTAAAACTAACAGAGTTATGAGGTAACAAACATTAAAACTATTCCTTAGTTTTGAAGTCGGTTAAATAAAGACTACGTGGCTCAGTAGTAGATATGCGTTTATCGCGGCAGTATATTTCATGGAATTGCATACTTCGATTTTTTATGCATTTTAAAGAACAACTGTTTCGCATGTTTGCAATTAGAATACGAATGATCATGTGTGGGTGTCTTAACATTTGTTTTCTGCTTTATTTATAAAAGATCCTCAGTGAAATAGGTATTTTGTAAATTTGTTAAGACATACACTAATGTTCTAGTGTACATAAAAAATCCTACAAACACATCACCCATGTGTGAAAACAGTATGTTTTATTTCTCACGTGTTTTATGACTCACAATATCTATTTGTTTTACAATGAATACATAATCAAGTATTCAAATATTGTTTCGACTTAGTATTTTACATTGTTTGTATCTTCTTCTCAGCCCAGAGATAATTCTCGGTGTTTGTCGGATCATAATAAAATACCTAAATATTTACAACACGTGTTTTATTTTTAATGGGTGATAATGGAATGCACGCCCGCGCTATCGGTATACATCTGCGGGGTACCAGTGAAAGATGATAGGTGAGAATGAATACAAGTCAGTACATGATGAATTCGACAAAAATTAACCATGATGATTTCTAGGAGGAACCGCGTGGAGGTTAACCTATGAGGGTATATTGCTAGGAAAAGGGCTGTTAGACCTCATTACTAACAATCCCTTTACAACGGACAACATAAAAGTTCGCATTCTCGCGGTGTCTGTAAAGTCATCTTTTATTTTATTTTTTTATATTTAGGATAATAAATTTTT